GAGTTGGCTCGACGATACCCGGCGCTGACCAGCGTGTCGCTTCATCCGGGCGTCATCAAGACCGATCTTTACATCCCAAACGCCCAGTCCAACCCAATCATGAAGTACGGCTCAATGGTATTTGGGCCCTTGCTGTTCCAGACGATCGAAAATGGCGCCTTCAATCAGCTCTGGGCAGCTGCCGGCGCCAAGAAGGAGGAGCTTGTCAATGGAGGATACTACACTCCTGTCGGTAAGTACAGGCCGAACAAGTGGACAAAGGACCCAGAGGCGGGACAAAAATTATGGGAGTGGACGGAGAAGGAGTTGAAGACTGCTGGCTACTGAGCATCATTTTGGGGGGGATTGGTGTTTTGTCGGAATGGTTATGGCTGGGATGGTGGCTGTGTACAATTTTGATGGGTCATATGTCAAGGGGGTGTTCTGGTATAGACTGTGAATGGCAACAGTTCTAGTTCGTGTTAATACAGGTCATGCTGATGATATGAGGACGGCAGGCGAGCTTCCTGGAATCTTGCCGCATATTTAGTTCCGGAGTGATCCGATCAAACCACTTGTTACAGCACAATCGAGGTCGATCCCACCCGACCAAACCCGTTGAACACATAGAGTGAAGATGGCTCACAAGAACGACTGCCATTTCCAGCCAAGCAAGGCTTTGACAGACAGACACCAGGGTGCTGGGTGCGATCGCACTTTGTTCCAAGATAAAGATGCTGGGCCTGAGAATGGCGCAGTCAACCTTGTCTCGAGACCCTGGATTATTGGCGACATGCAGGCAATGCAGGCAATGCAGGCAATGCAGGCCACACACAATGGACCTCGTAATGACCAGCTCAGCAACGCCACCAAATGCAGGATTCTCAGCTTATGCAACCAGAGTCTCTTTTTTTCCCTCAAGACCTACGACTAAACAGAAATATTCGACGACGGTAGCGAGAACATCACAATCTTTGAACAAAAGGACGACAGTTTAGAAATCAAGTCGGGCATTTTGACTAACCAAAACACCAATAACTCCACCACTCAACAAGACTTATTATATCTCCCCATTGGTTGGTCGAGCCATTATCGCCTGCTATATTCGGTTGAAGACACAAATCAGAGGGAGAAACCTCATTGCTCGCAATACTAATCTACAAGAGTCCAGGGAAAGGCTCGACATATTCCCACCGACCGCCCTTTGGCTCCAGGTTTCCCCCGGCACGCACCGATACCGGTCGACGGTCTCTATAAGACCCGCATTCATCTCGGCCGCCGTAGCCACCGACCCCCTTTTCACATTTACATCCTGGAGACCTCAAAAAGACTCACCCACATCTACCTCCAATCCCTCAGTCGAAGTCGAAGTCGCTCCCGCTCGGTCTCGCCCATGCCATCTGACAACGCGGACAAGATCGTCCTGATCACGGGGATCAATGGGTACATCGCCTCCCATATCGGTCTCCAGCTCCTCCAAAAGGGGTACAGGGTGAGGGGCACTTCTCGGTCGATATCAGCCAAGGACCACCTACTGGCCGGCGCTTTCAAGGGCTACGAGGCTCAGTACGAGCATGTCGAGGTCAAGGATATCGTCGCGCCGGGCGCCTTTGACGAGGCGGTCAAGGGCGTGCATGCGATCCTACACACGGCGTCGCCCGTTGACTTCACGTTGAAGACAGTCGACGAGTACTTTGGCCCGGCCATCGGCGGGAACCTTTCGATCCTCGAGTCTGCAAAGAGCGCCGCGGGACCTCAGCTGAAAGCGTTCGTCGTCACGTCTTCGATCGCCGCCATCGTGGACCGGTGGAGGCAGCCTCCCGACCACGCCTACACCGAGGCCGACTGGAACGAGATGGGCGAGTCCGTGGCCCGCAGCGAGTTCACGGCTCCTGTAGCGTACGGGGCGTCTAAGGCTGCCGCGGAACGGGCGGTGTGGAAGTGGGTGGAAGACAACCACCCGCCCTTCGCCGTGGCCGCCGTCAACCCCGCCGTGGTGACAGGTCCGCCGGTGTCCTGGCCCGCGACGCCGGACAAGCTGAACACGACGCTCCTGCCCATCTGGAACATCTACAGCGGCAACAAAAGCATGCCCCCGCAAATCGGCGGCGCGGGCTACATCGACGTGCGGGACGTGGCGCGCATGCACATCTGGGCGATGGAACACCCGGAGCAGAGCAACGGTGAGCGGTATCTCATGTCCAACGGCAAGGCCCCGCCGCAGGCCGCCGCGGACCTGCTCCGGGAACACTTCCCCGAGCGTGACATCATTGTCGGCGACCCGGGCCAGGGCTACACCAAGGACTACTGGTTCGTGCCGGGCGAGTCGAGCACCGCGTCGACCAAGGCATACCACGCCCTCGGGGTCAAGCGGTTCATCTCCTACGACAAGAGCGTCCTGGACACGGTCGAGGCGTTTGAGAAGCACTGGCCGGGTCTCGCGCAGAATTTCAAGCACAAGAATTAGATTTCGAGTCAAAAGAAAATGGAGCGTGTTTGCGAATTATATGTTCCTCGGAGGTGTTTGACCGCAAAAAAGAATGCATGTCGGAGCGATACTTTGCATATATATCTATCTCGAGTAACACGTACGGATATTTGGGTTTGGACAGGTATTATAGATAGATAGCCAGGTACCGAGTAGTTTGAACAGCGGGGTGTGAATGATAGCAAAAGAACCCAGAATGTCATATGTTGTTTGGCGCGCTTCGTGAACAACGACAACACAGCGCAGCAACAGATGTGTGCCCTCCACATTCATTCCTTTGAGCCCTGGAAAGAAAGAACCCGCCGTCCTTTTGCCCTCTCAGAGAAAACGACCAGGTGTGACTATGCAAGCATTGCCTGCATATGATGTGATGGGGTCGGAACACGCCTTCTCAGCTGGGCTTGTCTCAGCAACGTGGACCCCATGGAGGGAGGATTCCTCCTACCTTGACGCTGGTGACGCTGAGGCTGAACATCCAACGCTGAACATGACCGAAAGTCCTTTTTGGTGGTCACCAGATTAAAAAAAAGGGGGGGAGGCCGTGAACCATCCCATCAAACAAACCAACGAAATCACCGGGCAGGGGAAAGGGTCCCAGTCGAGAGGAAAAAGCACCGTCTTTTCTTCCTCGCATCGTCCCAGAGAAAGAGGCCTCCCTTCCGAATCCTCCCTGTTTCTTTTCTCCCTTCCCTCTCCCCCTCTTCGATGAAGGCGATGGCAAAATGCAAAGTCTCACTTTTCGATCAGGCCAGACAGGGAAAAAGCGCTGTGTAACGCGAATCCCTGACGATTTGGAATTTCCGTGACTACGTGGTTTGGTTTTTCTGATCCCGTGTCTCTCTTTCTCTCGCTCCCTTTTGTGCGACATTGGACTTGATGTGACCAGACACCGCAAAGAACAAAACTCCACTTTTTCTCAGCTATCCGTGGCTCTTCTCCATCGTGGACAAAGTCGGTTCCGCTCCCTCCACACCGCGGAGGTTGAGAGGCAGCCTGACCAGCCAGACAGCCAGCCTTCTTGCCTTGCGCCTGGGCCTGTTGGGTGGCTGGCTGCGGCACAAGGCTGGGATGTCTTGGGGGAAACCAACGACGCTTGACATGCCCCAGCGGTCTGGATTGTGATGTTGGTCACACGTTGCGCCACGGACTTATATCGTGGGTTAAAGGGGTGTCGGGGAAGGGATTCGCTGGTTAGGTGGCAGCCAGTAGTGGTGTCAGTAGTCAACGGTCGTCTAATCTTCTGCGGTCACAACGGCTGGTTAGCGAGCGGGGTTTGAACGCCACTTGTCTCAAGGAAGGGGGGGAAAATCAGTAATAGGTGGATCAAAAGCCAGGCTTATTATGGGCGGAGATGACCTCTCATCTTCGTTGAAGTGGCTACCGACCAAAGTCGCCTGTTTACCCCAAGTCCAGGCCTCCAAGGGTACCTTTTTCTCGATCCCCCTGTATCTCGTGGGGCGGGGATTTGAGGCCCGTAGTTCGAAGCAGTGAAAGGCGGAGAGAGACCCTGAATGATATAACATTCTTCCTGGTTGGAGCGTCTGTGGCATGGCTGCGGAAGTACGGATGATGGTCCGTCGGCGGCGATGCAGACAGGATATGAATCAATCCATCCTTATCTCACGTGGGAGTCTCTCGCTCTCGTCAGGTTCCTGCGTGTCGGGATGGAGGAGATAGGGAAATGTCGGTGGTGGAGAAGAGGGAAGAGAGATAGAGATGACGGATGGCGGATGGCGGCTCGTGTCCGGGGGATTCGCGTATCTTTTCCTGGGCGACTACTTGCACGTCCTGCCACTGCCACATTAGCAAAGACCCCATCGAGATAAACAAGATAACGAACGGAATTGAGAGGCGAGCAGGCGAGTTAATCCTCATTCTCTCCCATCTCACTTGCTGCCTGCTACTCGTTCATTTGACCCTCCAGCCACTGATCGTCTAGTCAATGGTCCCTGTGATGCGACTTTCTGGACATCACCGCTCACACTTTTTGTTCCAACCCATTTTCGATTTCATGGTTCCTTGCCCACTCCCCATTTTTCGTGTGTGTGCCTGTGTGCGTATGTGTCTGCTTGCATCGGTGTCTTTGATGCTCCAGGAATCCACCTCTCGTTAGATCTTTTTTGGTTCGAATGTCTCTGCATCAAGAGGCTCGTTATTGACCTACATCACCCTCACCAATCCAGACCCTGGCACTGGTGGCTGCGTGCTGTAACGCACCCATCGATACTCTTTCACCATCTTCAATTTCCCACCCCTCCTTTCAATCCTCTTTTCCCTTGCTTTCTGGACAATTCGTTTAGTTCTTCCTTTCTGCGGATACCTGTCTTGATCCTGCCTAGTTGCTCCGAGCAATACGATTGTGCTACGAGTCACTCTCTCCTCACAATTACTCCTCCTTCGGTCGATATACCACCGTACCCACCGAACCCCTCCATACCTCAAAGCCCCCGTTTACACTCGTCTGCTTTCACACAATCTACTTGTCAACGATCAGGTCGTTTGGGTCCATGTCGCCTGTCTCCGTCTGCGTCGCATGGAGGTCCAGATCCCATCTCCGTCTGTTTTCTTGAGAGATTCTCCCGTCATTACTCCAGCGCCTGTGGTGCAGCCAAAAAAGGCCGCCATCACGAAGCCCAAACCCAATCCTCCTCCTCCTAAACCCCTCAACAAATCGGTCCAGGATGGGGCGGTGACGAAACCAAAGCAAAGCAAGAGTCGAAATGGTACGTGCTCTGAACTCCGAGTTTATTGGCAGCGTGATACTCGCAGCAAATTCATCTGGGTGTCTCTATTGCGGGTTCCATCGTTTCCCAACGTCATGGACTAACTTGGCTTTTCCCTTTCACAGGTTGTATGACATGCAAGAAGAAACGATTAAAATGCGACGAGACAAAACCCTCTTGTGCCCAATGTCAAAAAAGAAGCGTGGTATGTGAAGGCTACAAGAAGGACTACAAGTGGAGAACATTTGAGGAGACTACCTTTGCCTCCCGGCCTACCGTGAAGAGGAAAGCTTTTCGTTCCAACTCTTTGTCGCCCACTCACAATGTAGCCAATCCCATTGGTATCGCGGGTGGTGCGAGACCAGAGGTTCGACAAAACCGGGTTGAAGTCACTGGATCTGCTCAGACATGGTCTCCGGGTTTGCATTCTGCCTTCGAAACGGCAGTTCATGCATTCCAGGGCAACGGCGATGACCTCCCTCACCCTCAGGGTCCAGTGTCTAGTCCAGAGCGACAGGTCGACATGCAGTTTGACGGAGACCTTTCGCCGCCTCTCAATCTCACCACCCCGGATTCAATCTTCATGCCCGCTTTCGAGACCGACGGCATGTCTCCAGGTCTGACATTGGGCGATTCGGTTGATCCGTACAGCCTGACCACGACAACGACGAGCTCTTCCATCGACAGCAACAGTGCCGAGTCTTTCTCCTCTGGTTCTCCCCAACTTTTGGACATGATGATTTCTGCTGAACCGAATATGAATCCGCTGCCTGATCCCTGCGAGCTCGAGCCGCAAATGCCTCTTCATGATAGTATACCGACAGAGGATGACTTTGACGAAGAGATTATCAGATCGGATGCCATCGCCACATCTGCTGCCATGACGGCTATGCAACTCCCCACACCCTCGTCAATGCTCGACCCCAGCTTTTCCAACACAGCATTCCAGGCTTTCCGCGCGTCTTCCCCTACTCCTAGTGAGAGTTCTACAGCATCTTCCAAATCCAGCGACATGACAATCCTCGCTCAGCCCTCTCTGGACGCCTCGTCACCAGAGATGCTTATGCTTCGATTCGACAAGCAAACCTGTGGCATTTTATCTGTCAAGGACGGTCCTACTGAGAATCCCTGGCGGACATTGATCTGGCCTTTGGCTCGAGAATCTCCTGCTCTGTACCATGCCATTTCATCTATGACGGCATTCCACGGTGCTCATGAGATTCCCAATCTGCACGTGCCAGGTATGGCACACATGACCAAGGCGATCAAACGTCTTGCCTTTGAGATCGAGAACATGCGACTCGATTCGGCGCTGGCAACTTCATTGGCGCTTGCTTTTAGTGAAGGCTGGGATCGACATGTCAGCACTGGCGTCCAGCATCTCCGAGGCGCTAAAGTCATGGTGAACAACGCCATCATCAAGCACCAGCGGGACATGCAGCTGGGCCAGATGACGACCCAAGACGCCAATAGACTCAAGTTCCTCTGTAATACTTTTGTCTACATGGACGTGATTGCTCGATTGACGTCGCTGGAAGAAGCACCGGAGCTCAATTTCGAGGAAATCCTTGCCACTGTCAATGCCCCATTCGGAGATCAGGTCGAGGTCGACCCGCTGATGGGCTGTGCCACGACTTTGTTTCCGTTGATGGGCCGCGTCGCCAACCTCATACAACGAGTGCGCAAGACCGAGTCGAATTCTCTCACCATCGTCTCCACCGCCATGGAGTTGAAGGAGCAACTACAACAGTGGCAAGTGCCCAGCGCCTTGATCTTCGAGCGGCCGGAGGATCCGAATTCAGAAGTCCAGCACTCGATTCAAACAGCAGAAGCTTACCGATACGCTACGCTACTCTATCTACACCAAGCCGTGCCGGAAATCCCCAGCGACCCAGCGGCATCCCTGGCGAAGAAAGTCTTGGTCACATTGGCGTCAGTCCCCTTATCCTCAAGAGCAACCATCGTCCAGATTTTTCCTCTTTTTGCGGCAAGTTGCGAAGTCACCGACCCCGATGATAGAACCTGGGTGGTGCAACGCTGGCAAGCAATGATCAGGCGTCTAAAGATTGGGAACGTGAACTCGTGCTGGAATGTCGTTCAAGAGGTCTGGGCCCGCAGAGATGCGTACGAGGATGAAAAGTCCAACAGATTGCTCAGGCAATATGCGAGCCGCGGAGTGCCAGGGGGTAATTTTGTCCCTCCAGTGCTAGACGTCCCGCCGGCAATGAAGAGAAAGGCTTACACGGCAGATTCTCTGGGTATGGGAGACCCCGGTCATTTCAGTCATGGTCAACAGGGACCCCAGGACCGGCAGGGCGGCGGACCAGGAGACTTTGACGCAACAGGGAGGGCGGTCAAACGTCGCTTAACGATGGACTCGCTCGGAAGCGGGAGCGGCATGTCGGCCATGTCAATGACCATGCCACCTCCCCCTGTATCCCTCCCTCGTCGACACACAAGCGATATCATGTCTTCAGATCAACTAGAACCCGAATACACCGTGCGAGGGCAATTGCACTGGCTAGGTGTTATGACCGACTGGCAGTGGGAAGGTACGTGTTCGAATTTCCTCAGACGTTGTGCTTTTGGGATTGCTTTGTCTCATCCTGGAGTCACCAGCTCATGCTGGCTGCGTTGTTCTTCCGCACTTTCTCTCCGCGAGCTGCTTCTCGATGAGACCTCCTCGCATAGCCTGTGGCCATTATCGCCGTCGCGAGGCGTGTCGTGGAGCTCGATGGCCCAAGTTTCATTCTCCGCACGTCAAACAGGCGGCTGACATATTGCGCTTTTAGTTTTTCTCGGTTGATTTTGCTTCGGCCTGCTTTGCGTGTCTCTTGCTGAGCAACGCCTTGCCCCCGGGGCTCGAAGACCGATGATCTCTCTGAAGTTGGCGAGGGTCTTTCCCGATCTGATGGTGGTGATGATGATGGTGGTGGTGACTGGTGGACTTTACGGTACTCTTCGCTATCCGATTCTCAGTTCCTTTGCCAGCGCTAGGAAGGCTGAGGTTTACGCTCCCGTGTTCCCTCCTCAAACTGGCGAGGTCCATCCATCGGAATTCGGGCGACTTCTCTCTCTCACCTCCATCTACCCTCTCGCTCCGAACACTACTCCTCCTAGAGTCGGTGTCGCTCCCGCTGCTGCGGCTGTCATCCTGACCCGCATGGTCGACACTGGCCAGGTAGTTCCGCATGCTTGCGGTATATTCGTCGAGTTCGGCGCTGTGTGTCAACTTTGACATGGGGATTGTTTCAACCGGGGCACTCGATGTCGGATGCGGACTCGGGCCCTGCACAATGGTCTGGCTTTTGCTGCGCTTGCTCGCAGGATGGGGTGCGGTTGAGGTTGTCATTTTGGGGTATTTTTGTTGTTTGGACGTGATCGACCGAATGGATTTGGCGACTGAAGATTCTACGAAATCCTGTTGTTTGCAAAGTATCCGGGTTGAGTCAGGTTGAGATTGCTTGGGTCCCTTGGACTTGTGTGTGGCAGGCGGGATGACTGTGATGACTTTGACGCTCTACAGCTATGAACGCACGCACGCACACTTTTGCGGCCTCAAATGGAGTTTTAGCGGATCTAGGCGATTGCTCTTTGCTTTTGGTGTGGGAACTCGCGGGCCTGGAGACTGTGCGCGATGGGGAATGGGGGAGTTTATGTTGAGGGCCGGACGTTCCAGCCTTGCCCACAGGGTGCTTTCTTTGTAGCTTCTGTGCCGTTGAAAGTCGGGCTTCAGTCCCCTGCGAAAATTGGTTGGTCTTTCACGAGCAAGGTGTTTGGGAACCCGGAGCTATGAAATTTTTTGGGAGAAGGCGCCACGGATTATGTTGTTGCAGAGAGTGAGGGAGCTGATATATGCACCTGTTACGAGTTGGGCCGGTGGGTAGTGGCTATGTTGGTTCGTGTGATATCGTGGTCGTGGTCGTGGAGAAGGGTTTTGATGGGGACGTGGTTCTACTTCTAGCAGTAGTACTAGTAGTAGTTGCAATGAGACTGGGAGAGTGATTGACTGCCGGGACCGTCATCTGGAGTATCAGTCGTTTCTGGTTATCATTGTCGTTAATCGATGTGCGTGCGCTGCTAGCAATTTGCGGGGCGTGTGGTGTGCATGTGTTTTCTCGTCGTTGTCATCCTCTCTCGTACATACGGAGTTGCGGGCGTTCAAAAGGTTCTGGGTAAGGGAATTGGAGACCAGATCAAGCTGGACCCTTCGAAAAACTAACCCGCGTCTCTCGCTGTTCTATTCTTGCGTGTTTGCGTGTGTTCGTTCGATTTGTACACGAGCAGAGTCGCAAGTTGCAGGTCGCCTGTTGGAAGATCCTGAAACGGTGGTTGTGGTTGATACGCAAAACGTAAATGGTGCTGCTGTTTCGTTTTCCGATCTCTCTCCTCTCTTGGTCCCTTTGTTCGCTTCGTTTCGCGCTCTTCCCGTTTCTTGGCGTGCCGATACAGACGCAGAATGTCGTCACTGAGGGGGAGGGAAGAGGAGGGGCGTCCAGGCGAGCGGCCGTTGTGAAGAAACTTGTCGTCGTCGTCGTCGTTGTTGTTGTTCCTCGGTCTTCGCTTCTGCACCGAGTACAATAATGGAGGGAGCACAGCAGTTTAGTAAGGTACGTTAAATGGCGTTTTTAGTCTTTCCTGGCTGGGGCTCCAAGTCAAGGAGAGTTTAAAACCGCTGCCGCACACGTGGGTAAATCGCTTTTGTTCCCGATCCACTTAATACGCGCTGTCCCTTGCCCGCTTCTTCCACTTGTGTTCCCGTTCTCGGAGTTGGCCAAAACCCCGGGGGCAAAAGATCCCGTCTGTTTGAGGAGACTGGATCGGAGTGGTGGACAGGGTAGAGTATCTATATCATGGACAATGGTAGAATAATTCTGGGAGTATAAGCCTATGGGGAAATAGGTTCGGCAACGAATAAAAAGGGCAATGGGCGAACGGACGTGGTGAAATGGCCTGCCGTGGTGGTGGGGGGTATAGGAAGAAAGGTCGCTCCTTTTGCCTGTCTCGTCTGCTCTCTCCCTCAGCCGGGTATGTCGAAGTGGTTCTGGCGCTCCATAACAAAGTCTCTGTTTCGTACTGAGTAATGAATAGTAAAAGTGAGTTGCGACCTAGAGTAGTGGCCGACCTGCTATGCAGTTGCTCGATATTAGTCAAGGTGCCAAATAGAAGAACTAGTAAGTTGCTTCTAGTGAGGCTTGGAGATATAATATGTCAGAAAGCAATTCTCGGAATGTGGCATTATAAGCTCATGGGATTCACAAATTTCATTCAAAAGGGTAAAATAATGAGGGAGAGAAGGCCTAGAACAGAAAGCTCAGGCCATTGTTTGCGACAATGCCTTCTGTTTAAGCCGGTGTAGCCAAAAAGTAATATGTATCGGTGGCGGCGTGGGTGGTATGAGAGAGGACGGGGAGCCCCGAGGAGGAAACAATCAAATGGGTTACCAGTAGCCCATTGAGACCCGAGCAAGAAAAACTATACCTCGTTCAGCAGGTCCCAAAGGCAACGAACTCGCACAACGAGGCGGGAACGCAGAATGGCATCATACGACAGTAGTGCCCACGCTGTCGTGCCTTTTGCTCAGGCGACGCCGCATGAGGCATGGGAGCCGTTGATCTCCAGACCTCAGCCGTATGCGAGATGGAAGGGAAACAAACGGGGAACAGACTACACCATACCATTCGTCGACATGATGGATGAGAGGATTCAGCGTGTGTGCGTTGGTCTGGCTAGGAAAGATTGCGTGCCAAAGACAAGGGAGTGGAATGACCACACGGATCCGCTGGGTTCGACTTTGCCAGTACCATGCCAGTGGGCCGCATTGTACGTGTGGAGAAGGGTTGGTCGAAGTCGGAGGCCCAGCCGTGCAAGTTTTGCAGAATCTAGAAATGCTGGATCCGAGTTGCAGATTGTGGAGTCGTTTCTGCCCTGACACCATGGCGACGGAGGGATCTCTTTGCATTTAAGTGCAGGTTTGTCCCTCCTGACCTTTCCCCAATGTGCAGGACGTTAGAGAGAAGTCAGCCACCAATCCGGTCCTCTGAGGAGGCAACTTTCATCAGCTGTATTTTGCTACAACCCGCCGCAATGGTGGATATACCCGTCTCCGTGAAAGATCTTGAAAGACGGTAGTCGAGATTGAGCCATATCCGCACGCCCACTACTGGCTTTGTAAGGGTTTTCGTGCAGCAGTGGTAGATTTCACCGGTCTTTATCAAACCTGTTCACCGCGTCCGTTCTCTAACAGCCAATTTTTCAAAGCTCAATGAATCCCTTCAGCGTCGATCCTTCAGGTTCAAGAATTCCCTGCCCTAAAGAGGTAAGGTGTAAAAGGTTTATGTAAGAAAGGGTGGATTTAGATTTATCCAAAGATATTCCGGAAGCGGAGAAGGGGAAATGATTGCTAGATCGAGCTTCGCGCGAGGGCGAGAAGACAAGGCTGGATCCACCAGGACGGGAATCGGCTCGGAGGGCGAATGAGAGTATCTCGTGGGTAGGGGTGTACGAGTATAGGCGGCTAGGTAGAGAAATAGGTCGGTCAAGGCAAAGAATGGTGGGCGGACAAGTGTTGCTGTTCCCCTTTGGAAGCATTGGCATGGTGATACCGAATGAGATCTCCTTTGCACCGTGTTCCGGAATAGGTGAGAAGGGCCATCTTGATGCCCTCTGATGCTTGGCTGAAGCAAGGTTGGGTGAGAGTGTAAGATGCTCAAGGGTGAGTTGACTGGGCGAGGATCGCCTTTGGCTGCGGAGAGCAATCTGCATTTTACTAATCGGAGGAGTACTCGATAAGCTGATGGAAGCTCGGAAGGTACAAATTTGCCATGACATCACGTGATAACAACTTCTCTCCAATGGTCGGGCTTACACCACATCTTGAATACATTTATCGACTTTACATAACATGAAAATATAATAATCTCTCTGGATCCAGTATCCGATATCATGACCTTGAAATCCGTATACATTGTGTAAGGCTGTGGTCGCGGGTCCTAGTTACGGAGGTCTAGCCCAAATCAGAAATTGTGGTGCAAAATATACAAACTTGCCAAGTATCGATTCTACCCCTCCCTGCGGCTTTTGGCATCCCACCCTCCTTATCTATTCCCGCTCGTGGTCAGCTTCCCATTGAACCGACCATCATCTTCACTCGCCTTAACCACCTTGGGCATTTTGTTCCCTTCTACTCTATCATTCCAACCCTTCTGGTGCTATTGGAGCACTGTGACTGGTCCCAGAAGCTTCCTGTCTGAGTTCTAGGCACGGAGCTATACACGCTGACGCGGGTCTTTGGCCACCAGATTTCCATCAAACGCGTTGTTTGCATGAGAGTAATCCCTAACCTAGACTGGGGCAACGCAGTCCGAGCCAAATGAGCAAGGCAAGTTGTGGGTAGCTGGGAAGTCTGAAGAGGTATATCTTATAGACTGCTGCATCCTGGTTCCTGCATTACTCTCTCTCAATCTGCAGCTTCTTCATCTTCTTTCCCCAAATCCGTTTGCATTTCCCTAGGTCTCGTGCAATCACGTCCCAATCCGCTTATCGCAACTTGCCTCTGCTTGCGACTGCTTCAGGACGGCTTTCAGCTTAACAATAAAGGTGAGTCTGAGGACTATCTTTGCAAGAACCAAGGCGACCTGGGTAGAAAACTATTACAGACAACCAGCGCGCTCTGAGAGGGATTTGGCTGGTTTCCAAGCATCTTCAAAGAATCTAACAAATGGGACATTGCTTCAGCAGACTTACATCCCAATCCAAAACATCCAAACCTGAAAAGATGGGTTCCACACCAGCTTTCAAGCACTTCTCCAAAGTCCAGTCCGAGTTCAAGCCTCCCTTGATCGCCAACGAGAACGCCTTCCTCGGCGACGTCGTCAGCAACGACTCAATTGACCCCGAGAAGCCCATCAGCTGTGGCATCTACAGACTTGAGAAGGGCACTCCCCTCGTCTACACCTACACTTACCACGAGATGAAGATCATTTTGGAGGGTGAATTTGATATTAGCGACGAGACTGGCCAATCTGTTCACGTGAGAGCTTCCACTCCATTGGTTGGAAACCCGCGCGCTCGCGAGCACAACTGACGTTGGATTCTAGGCTGTTGCTGGCGACGTTTTTTACTTCCCCAAGGGTAGCGTTATCACCTTCAAGACGAACACTTATGGTTTGGCCTTCTACACCGGCCAGCGCAAGCAGGGTGCCGCATAAACGAAACGGGACCATAGCCAAAATTAAAAACATTCAAGCAATTTTCATGATTGAAGGACGTTTGCAGACCTATTTCCGGTGCCAAAAAGCCCGGCTCATCTATGCTCTTTTTGCTCTTTTTGTTCGTGGACTTTGACGCCGACTCCGTGACCTTGAGAACAGAATGAAAGCGAATAATACCACAATGGTAGTGATGCCAATGTATGCCCAGTGGTGACCTTCTCGGTTCGCAGGCACGACATCATCTAGTCACAGTGCCCCACTCGGTGGTAAACATCGCTTGATGAACTCCTCCAAATCATCGATCTCTTTCATGTCCGCCGAATGAGCGAGACCCCTGCGCACAACTGTCAATCACAAAACCTGATATGGCTGGCAAGGATACTCACGGATATGTCTTGAATTCGACTTTGTGGCCCAACTCGTTCCTCAAATACTCTGCCGACTGCACTCCCCACTGATGTTTGACCAGTTCGTCTGCGTCCCCGTGGCCCATGAAGAAGGGGGTGTCTTTGTTCGCGCCATTGGCCTCTTTGGCAAAATCCTTGATCTTGTCCCCGAGCACGAGATAACAGCTCAATCCAAAGACTCCGCCGAGCTTGTGCGGTGTAGTAGCGCCAGTGAACAGCGACATCGCACCGCCTTGGGAGAAACCACCCAAGATTATACGGTTGGAAGGTACACCGGCATCGATCTCGTCGGTGATGAGTTTGTTGAAGGTTGCACGGGAGCGCAGGATGCCCGGTTCATCGAAATCGTGCTTGAGGTCGGAAAAGTTCGTCTACCGTCGCGCAAAACACAATTCATTAGCTCTTGCGTAGCGTAGAGGCGTGGTTGTTAGGAATAGGAGAAGCGAGGAGGGGTAAGGGGATCCGACTTCGTCGCGGCGCCTTACGATATCGTACCATCCAGGCATGCGCATGCCAAAGTTCTGCTCTCAATGTTAGCACCATGATCCCGCACCGTATGTGAAGGAGTAGCTCTTTCGGGTACGTACCACGGTGATGGGGATGTTGGGCGCATTGGGGAAGATGAACTTGACGTCCTCAAACTTCCCCCGCCGTCGCCAGGTCTCTGCGAGCGACACCCTGGCGGCTGCGATGAGTGCTGTGATATTTCCGAGAGGACTTCTCTGGGGACCGTGACGAACTCACCACCCTGCACCGCTGTTTTATTTCACAGATAATCAGTCAAAAAGCCCCAAGAAGACTTCTCGGCGTAAATCTGCGTTGGGATACTGACCTGTCCCCCAGCCCATGGGCCATAATCACCGTCGCCGTATGTGTCTTGAGCGCAGGTACGATCAACGCTTGTTTGCCCGCCATCTTTGCGCACGCGAGATTGATTTCTGGACCGATTCAAGGGAGGAGACGGAGGAAGAAAGCAGAAAGAGAAACGATGTTTGATGGGGAAACAAAGGCTGGTGGCATGGACAACTCAGTGCCGTTACTGTAATAGAGAGCGGGACATTGGGCAAGCGCGGGAATCGTGTTGGCTCAGCCGAGGTTGTTCCGGACGGTGATGAATCAAGCCCCCAATGCAGAATTTCCGTTCTTTTCCAATTCTCTATCATGATCGCTGCATATGTGTAACACCATGTGCTTGAGAATGCTCCCCGGCTCAAGCGATAGAGTTGGAGAGTGACACTGAAGTTGACATCAGGATGCGTAAGCCCATAAAATTGTTCAGTGCCGTAAGAAACACAAGCTGGATTGTGCTGCTGGTCATTGTTGGTTCACGAGAATGCTGGCAAATTAGTGGTACAACAAAGCTATGTGGCCTCGTCTGGGGGCAAGATACAGTGTTGACCGTGACTCAATGCTCTACTAAGACTGCTATTACCATACCTCGCACGCCTGGACGATATACTTGCACTTTGTTCCCAGACTCCACGTCCGCAGCTACACGTGATCTCGCACACGCACACTCGACCCCGAGGTCTCGAGCCGCAGCAAAATCGCCAAGACTGTCATAAAGGGCACAAATCCCCAGAAAGTTGAACGTCCTTGAATCATCCCGCAACCCGAAGCTCAACTCGCTCTCCCATCTCCCATCTTCATCCTCTTGTACAGCTAGGACGGAAATCCGAGCGTTGTCTTGAGATTTTCCTGAGCCTCTTTTTCGCTTCTCGGTCCTTCCGCCACCTCTGAAGCTTTTCTGAGTCTTGGATTCCAAGGGCTCGGCGAAAACGTCTTTTCCACCTCGAGAGCAGTTGGATTTGTGTGCTTGCGCTTTCTAGCCGTGACATCTCTGAGCTGAGTGAAGCTCAGCAACAGACACCAACCCACCACAATGGATCAAGAAAAGCTCAAGCGCATGCAGGCGCAGGTGCGAATTGGTAAGTCACTCACAATTATCCCAAGACAACCATCGTATGTAACCCTCTGCTAACAATGAATATAGGGTACGTTCCTTGATTCCTTCTTCGTACTCACTGTCAATCTACAAACCCAATTTCGCAAGAATTCTTGTTTGACCGCCGAGACCCACTCATCTGACATCCTGATTCTTTGATACAGAGGTAAAGGCACGCCGCGCCGTAAAACCAAGAAGGTGCACAAGAGTTCCGGGACCGACGACAAGAAACTCCAGACGACGCTCAAAAAGATGAACGTGCAGCCCATCCAGGCCATTGAGGAGGTCAACATGTTTAAGGAAGACGGCAATGTGATACATTTCGCTGCACCAAAGGGTACGTGATCTTAGCATTCAAAACACTGCAGCAAGGACGGGTGCACAGGGACAAGAGTCCTAGAAATTCAAGAGGAGGATGGGAAGGGTCCATTAGGGGTTTTGTTCCAAAATGAAGCGGAAGCTAATATGCCATTTTGTTTTGCACCACAGTCCACGCCTCAGTGCCTTCGAACACGTTCGCCATCTACGGTAACGGCGAAGACAAGGAACTCACGGAACTCGTGCCGGGCATCCTAAACCAACTCGGCCCCGACAGCCTCGCCTCCTTACGTCGCCTGGCAGAGTCGTACCAGAGTCTACAGAAGAAGGAAGGCGGTGAAAAGGGCGAGGGCAAGAAGGAAGGCGAAGACGAGGATGACGACGAGATCCCGGATCTGGTCGAAGGAGAGAACTTTGAAGGCAAAGTCGAGTAAGGAGAAAGAGAGGCCCCGAAGTACGCAAAGCTGTGGGTAGATGGGCGGAGGAGTGTGATTCCCCCTCCCAAATATGTAAAAAGGGTCCCCAAAAGAGACAGGGAAAAGAAAACTCGAGGGCTCCAAAAGGAAAAAACAGACTGAATATGCATCGCATCCATGTCCCCCCTCTCCCCTCTGCATTGTATGCGAGGGGGAGAAAAGGGAATGAATGGTCCAATTTTCTGGCGGCAATGCGTCGGTGTGAATGTGAGAGAACGGACTTTCTTGTTTCTGCTCTCTCTCTTTGCTCTTTTCTCGAGTCTTTTGCTGCCTCTTCCGTCACTGTCATTGTCACCATCACCACCACGACGACTGGAAAGCCATGAGGAAGAGATGTATGTACGGTACGGTATGTGGATGGTGAGAGGGACAAACCTGCTCGTCGGCACTACTGCTGCCACAACACTCCAACTATTGAGGATGTTCCCTTTCCCTCTCCCCCTTCCTCTCTGCATGTGTGTATCTGCGTGATCAACCACCCCCAAGCGCCAGCTACTTAGCTTCCCAGTTGGCCCAACTACCTAGCTACGCTGAGCTATGCTGCTGGTTTCATCCCAAAGGTACTCGGTACATTAGGTACAGTATGTACATATGGTCTGTCCAGGTGGCGCTAGTGCTCAACTGCCCGTGGAAGGGTGTCTAATCGTAATTCCTAACCCCTACCCCCCAAAAATTCGTGTGTAGCGTTGCGAGTTGGTTTTGTTCCAAGTTCCAATTACAGTACCTATCCCAGACTCCGGACTGAGACCGCCAACACACTCAATCGTCCTTCAGGCCACAAAAGTCGGTTCCGAACCACCTGTCCACGCCGTGCCAGAAGCTCCAGTACCAGCCATTAGCTGGGTCCCAGCTCCCGTCGTCCTTGACCAGTGGCCCCTCCCCGATCACATCACGTCGCCCCGCGGCTCCTTGCTTCGTGCTGCCCATAAAATACGACACAATCGGGATGCTCCGAAGAACTCTCTCTGCAAACGTCGGTTGCGGGGGCAGGGCTTCCGACATGGGTCGCAAGACTACCTTTTTCACGTTTTTGATGTGCGTCATGTATTCCGAATCCGGCGGGTGCTGGGTGGCTTCTCCAGGCAGCTGGGGCACAGAGCGTGAACGTAGACCAGTGGACGAGGATAGCTGTGGGGGTGCCAGGTCGGTGGCCGTCGCCGTCGCCGATGATGCGGTCGCGGAATCTACAGAGATTTCCTCTTCTTCATGGTTTGGAGGCTGTCCGTATTGCATGTCGGGCATGGTGTGAGAACGGGGTAGGGTCTGGAGCGCCCGCTCAAAGCCCGCAATGGCCGACTGTTTGCCTGATAGCATACGGGAAGATTGCGACGAGCTTAGGGTCCGTGCTCTCCGACCATCATCGAGATGTCGCGACGACTGTGGCTGGGGCTGTAGAAGGTCTGACCCATCGAGCCCGGGAGCAGGGCCTCTGGGCAAGGGAACGTCTGCCGCTGGGCCTTTTCCGTGCCACATCTCGCAATGCACCATGTAACCATCAATATCAATGGGACTGTAAAAGCATGCCCTCTCTGCGGCCTGGTAGGAGTCGAATGTGATCTTGATCCAGTGGTTCCCACCACAATAAATCCGACTCTTCTTGATGGCCTCACGGCTGAGATTCTGATGGACCACCACAGAGGCTCTCGAGAGGCCAAACGGTGAGTTCGAGGAGAGGTAGAGGTTGGGATCTTCTCGTGGGTAGTCTTCGCAGATTATGCCGGGGGAGACGATCTTTTCGAATTTCGACAGGACCTTCCATTCCGAGTGTTTACCTGCGTAGCCGTAGAGTAGACATTCCGTGGGCACGGCTTCTGGCTGGATCGGCCGTTCTGTCGCGGGTACTTCGCCTGGAGCGGTCGGGGGAGATGGTAACGTGGTCTTCCTCTCTTCCTCTTTCGCCTGTTCCTTTGCGAACAACCTCCCAAACTCGGCCACGGCAGTGTTCTCCTTTTGTCGAACCGGTGTGGTGCCTGTCCTCGCGCGCGGCGTTCGTGACGCCGTGGATCTTATACTGCGATTGCGACCGAAAGGCCCGCTCTCTTCTGGTAGCTGTCTGGCATTTCTCGCGGAGCTGTTCGACGAGTTAGAGTGTGGTTCTCCGGGTGGGAAGATCCCCGACAAGGATTCAAGGTTCGCATCGAAATTAACTGACTCTGCATAGCGATAACCCCAGGGAAGGGTCTCGCCTTTTGGATCTCTTGCTCGCTCTTCAGGTAACACGGAGTGGATCTCCATCGGGAAAGTCACTCGCCAGAAGCTGTGAGTCGTTGAATAAAATGCGCGGCGGCGCCGTATTCGGGTTGTGGCAAGTTGAGGAATCAGACGAAGCTAGATGTGAGTCAAATGTTGTAAGAAAAACTGGTGACAGCCAAAGGCAGCGCGCACACTTGTAGAGGGCAGCGTGCCTTGTACCTGGAAGCGAATAATTTATTGTTTACCCTGGGAAGCCCTTGTCTCCGCAGAATCTCGGGTGTCGAGGGTGAAACGCCATGGCACGTGACACCCGACTGAGCAGTGGTGGACTCGACGTCAAGTCGTCACGCAACTCTGAGAATAGGCATTATTTTGAAGCCAGAGATTTCCTCCTGAGTTATAACAAGTAACGATCGTCTTGGGGTCCTTCCTCGACTATATACCATGTTTGGAAGAATCTACAGCCAGCTGCGTCCATGGCTCCTGTATTCACGTGACAAGGCTGCCTCACCCCTTTATGCAGTGCCAACGCTATCATCCTCCCTCATGAGACAGCCACCTTCTCCACGTTCTGTTTGCTCTTCTCCTTCTGTTCCTCATACTTGGCTTGTAAATCCTTGATCTTGGTCTCGTACAGCTTGCTCGCATCCATGCCTACAGCCTTCATCCAGTCTGGATCAATGGCCTCAGGGTTCAGATATGGCGATACATCCTCTTTGTTGACCAAGGCTTGCACTGTACCCATGCCCAAGAACGCCCACATATTCTTCTTGGCAGGCCCAAGGTATTCGATCTCAAAGTCCTCATAGCGAGGGGTCTTGATGGCTTCGATGTAATGCAAGGATGAGCCTGGCCAGACGGCATTGACACGACCCGTCTCGTTGTTCTTGTACCTGATGAGGAGGTCAGTCGATGGTGTTCACTTAAACGATTAACGAAGGGGACAACGAACCATGACCGACATTCTTCGACCCACACGGTATGCCGGACCCATTCCTGGCAATGTTCATTGAACGCATCCGTCACATCTTGTTTCGGGGCGATGCTGCAAATGTACTCGGACTGGAGCTTCTTGATCATCTGCAGAGCGTAGTATGAGACGTACATCAACGGGCCCATAACACTGCCATTCTCCACGGGCCAGTTGGGACCGATGAACGTCAAGAAGTTGGGGAACTCGGGGATCGCAAGGCCAAGGTAGCCCTCGGGGCAAACCTTCCACTTATCCGCCAGGTCGACTCCGTTTTGACCGACAATCGGGAAGCGAGGACGGTATGAGACGTCAAAGCCAGTGGCACAAACAATTGTGTCGACTTCGCGGTGGATGCCATCGCCACCAATAAGCCCTGTTTCGTCCTTTTGAACGTTAGCATGCCACAAAGATGTTACGTCGAAGCTTGTCCAAAACTTACAATCTTTACAACGGGCGTAAAGTGTACGTCGACATTGGGTTTCTGAATAGCTCTGCGGAAAATGTCAGATTGAGGGAATAACCAACAGTGCAAGAGTACACCTTACTCCATATATGGATCACCAGGGGTGATCCTGCGACAACCAATGCCAAAGGTCGGGGTAAACCCTTTCAGGAGTCTCTCGTCCTTGATCATCTCAGCCATACGGGCCTTCAAAGCAGCCTGGCCCTCTGCCTGCGCTTTCGAGTTCTTATAAAAGGAGCCCCAGAGTCCATTGACCTGGTCCTCGATGGATTTGGCATGCTCGGTGACCTTGTATGGATCGCGGAAGTCTTGTTTCTGCTCGTCCGTATATTCGTGGTTTGCACCAAAGTTGTTCGCAATTTGCACGAACCAAACACCTGAGCACACCAAGTCAGAACTCCATCTCCAACAAATCGAAGCATCGACCACGAAGTGATCGAGTCCCCGGAACACATCCGCTGAAGGGCTGTGGAAATCGTACCAGTTCGGACGAACACGTCGAGATGTTTAACGTGGGGCTGCATCGTCGGTACTGTCTGGATGCTCGAGGCCTGTTTGAAGAGCCAGAGTTAGATATGTCCCAGAGTAAGAGGTGATGGCGGAAACATACTCCAGACCCAATGACAGCAACACGATCTTTCTTCCACTGCTCGGCCTGGTAATCCTTGGGCCACCGGGCTGTATGCATAATCTTGCCTTTGAACTTATCCATGCCTTCGATATCGGGCCATTTGAAGTTATTCAATATCCCTGTCCCATGAAGAAGCATGTGGCATCGGTCTTCAAAGAGACGTGTGCTTCCATCCGCATTCGTCTGCTTGAGTTTGACGAGCCATTCGCCTGTCTGCTGCTGCCAGTAACATCCAACGACTTCAGTGTTGAAAGTCATGTACTTCCTCAAGCCCCATACTTCGCAAACCTTGTCTAGGTATTTCCAGATATCTGGCGAGTAGGAGAAGAAACGAGGCCAATCCGGCTGCGAATCAAGAGGTGAGAATCAGCTCCACGGACGTCGCGAAGACATCTAACTCACATTGAGAGCAAAAGGATAGGTGTAAGCATGACTCGGAATATCACATGCGCAACCTGTTTTCCCCCAATCAGCGAACCGAACTCTGAAACCACAATAGCATGCATGTCTCTGAATAGTGAGCGTATTCTTAGAGCCGACGTTTTGGTTTGTAATACGCCCACTCGATCTCCAAACCAAATCACCAAAGAGACACGCCTAAACAACTCATAGAAGCAACATACCTGGATATCTGTTTTCCAGCCAGGTGCCCCCAATATCGGAATTCTTCTCGTAGATGACATGCTCTACGTTCTGTAGAAACTTTTGAATGTGGTAGGCATTCATGATTCCCGTCACACCGGCACCGATCGACAAGACACGGATCTTCCTGGTGTACGGACCATGCAACACGATGTCTGTAGCAGTTTGATTAGCAAGCGACTTTCCAATCCATTAAGCACGCTGGAAGTAGAATCAGGAGGAAAGAGAGGGAAGAACGACTCACCAGGAATTTCATACTCCGATCGAGGCACCCCATTACTGGCATAGCCATCAGTGGCATATTGGGTCATTGAGTTGATATCGGGGGCCATCTTGACAACCGGATGCTGAGGCTGTTTGGCAGAAAGTAGTAAGAATGGAAGGGAAGCAAGGTAGAAGCCGGCGTCTTGGTCAAATATGAAGAGTCACTTTGGTTTCAACACAAGGCAGAGTAGATGTCGCTTCAGGGCGACTTTGTCATGCAAGGAGTCGACGTGTTGGCAACTTATCACCGAAGGGTTCACAGCCCACGATGATGAATGCTGGGGAGAGGATATGAGTACTGCCAAAGTCTATGTAGAATGCTTCAAAGTGCCCTGTCGCTCCTTTATACCATTGGAGGTGGGGATTGCCTGGACTTGGTCTTCATGACCAGTATAGTGGCTCGCGTAGCCCGCAGCACCCTAATGGCCCAATAAACTGTACTGATGGGGGAGCACATCCGCCAGAGGGAGCATCTGTGACGCCAGGAAGGACACTAGGTTTCTTAGGCTGCCATCAGGAGAGGCTGTGGTTTGTAAACGTCCATGTGGGGGAACGCAGAATGCGGGGACAGGGTGGTAGCAAACCCTCCTTTGTTCAGCTGTGGCGATAAGGAAGCAACATTTGGCCGAGGTACAAGAAGAGGAGTGAAATTGTCGGGTTGATAATGTCGACTCAGATATCAGATGATGTGCCCCTAATTTGCATTGACTCTCCAGTCCCAGGAGAGCAGATGGCGACCATGGCGAGCATTGTCGTCGCAACCCATACGAGCAAGCCCCCAAAGGGTATCATGTAGCCGGCTGACTCCGCGATCTCTGACTCGATATGCGTCTGCATCGGGGCTTCAGTATGTGCCCTCCAGAGGCAGGTCCCTCGAACTGCGACCCACAGCCAAGGTGAAGAGACCTTCAGGCATCACCCAGTTCTGTCGGACCACAGACCAGTAACTCAAATCCTTTCGTGTCAGACTGAGGTTGACCACTTGTTCTGCTCCTGCCTCGAGTTCGATCTTTGTAAAGTTGCGCAACACTCTCATCGGCGTTTCGATGACTTCATTCGTGGATGGTTCCTTGATTGCGGAGGGAAACGACACATACAGTTGTACCACGGACTTTCCTTTGCGGCTGCCTGTGTTTGTAACGCGTACCTGGACGTTGACATACTCTTCAAAGAGAGCAGGATTGCCACCTTCGCCGCCTCCAGCGGCACTGGGATCTTGTGCGATGCCGTACCCATCAGGATACGGATACTTACCCTTCTTCACCTCGTCTGCGCTAGATATGTATGGGTAAATGAACTTTCGAATCTTCGTGAATGTGCTGGGAATGAGCGCACTATCGATAGGTGGTATGTTTTCATCATAGTTTGGTGGTGTCAGCCCTGCGGGCCTGGCAGAAGGGAGGGCTGATTTTGGTTTCAGGCCTGTAACAACCAGGTCAGAGAAATCGAATGTCGTGAAAGACAACCCGTGGCCGAATGGATAGCGAGGCTCCACGCCTGCCTTGTCGAAATGCCGGTAATCGATGAACAAACCCTCCCTGAAATCAACCTGAGGAATGATGGCGTTGGGATAATAAAGTACTGGAGCGCCCGGGCCATAGTCAACAAGAGACTTGCCGACCGTGTATGGAAGCCGTCCAGAAGCATCGGTTCGGCCGAATAGGACGTCGGCGAGGGCGTTTCCACTCTCTTGCCCAGGCAGGTTCGCAAAGACAATGGCCTTGACGGACGGTAGATCGGCAAAGTCTTCAAGGATGACAGGACCAACAGAATGGACAATGACGACGACAGGACCGCCACATTCGTCGGCCACAGTGCGGATCAACGAACCCGCACCTTTCTGAAGCTCCAGGTCATTTCTGTCTGCACGTTGACTATGCCAGATACGATGTCCTTCGCCCGAGTCTGCGTTGCCAAAGACCAGGCATAGATGTTGGTCCCTGAGCGCCTTCTTCAAGCTGGAAGACACCTTATTGGTAAGTGAGCTGGTCATTTCGACCACCGACAGGTCGAAGCTCGAATTCAACGCTGAGAGCGGATCCACAAGATAAGTAAAATCGGTGGCACCA